TCAGTGGGTCGAGCACCCGGCCCCTGATTACAGCTCAGGTCATGCTCTCGGGATGGTGGGATCGAGCCCCAAGTCGGGCTCCATGCTCAGCCGGGAGTCTACTTGGGATTCTCTTCCTCAAAAAATTAATTAGTTAATTAATTAATTAATTAAAAATTTAAATAAAAATTCTTTTCCTCTGTCTCGGTGCTCTCTCTCCTTCTCTCTTAAATATATAAATCTTAAAAAAAGAAAAAAAGAATATATCTGTAAGATAGTGTGATTTGGGAATCCACACCCAGAAGTCAGTCTTGTTCATTATTCGTGTATGTATTAAATAGTAAATAGTGTCCTTTGAACTTCCCAGCTACTAAAGGGCCGAGCTCTGTCTTGGCTCACCCCGTACCAGTAGGGCCTTGCACCTCTGGGGGGCCGCAAAGGTGTTGGAATCCTTTGGAGGCGCTGAAGCAGTGCTGCCAGGGCGCCGAGGGGCTGGGCTGGGGGGCGGGGGGCCGGGGCCGGGCCCGCAGCCCTGGTGAGGTTTTCCTGTAGATCCTTTCAGGCTCGGATTCCCCGTGACTCAACCACCTCACCTTTCCCCAGGAGAAACCACTAATGAAAAGGATCATTTCCCTTGGCAGTTCCCCCAAGGTAGGCCTAAGCCTAGGCTCCCTGAGGGACTCAGCCATGAGGCCAAGATTTAGTTTTTTTCTTCCGTGGCGCTCGGAAATTATTCTTTATTTTCCAAAAAGATTTCAGAGATTTCGCTTTTAATTTACGATTGAGTAAGGAATACTGTGTGTGTACTCAAAGGTCAGAAGCCTGCAGTGCGGTGTCCCCCTCGCGCCCCCGAGCCGGGCCGGCCTCTCCCGGGGGCGGCCAAAGCTGCTGCTCTCTTCTGTTCCTCCAGAGACACCGTATATGCCTTTAGGACGTGGTTCTCGTTTCCTCCTGCCCTTTACACGCGAGTTAAGTCAGTCCACACGGTTCTGCGCCTTGGCTTTTATTCACCAGAGGGTCGAGGCGGGAGCTCCCGGCCTAGCGGGACAGATGGGTGCCGGCGGCCCGGGCCTCTCCGCCACGGGGTGCCCGAGGCCTAGCGACAACTCCCCTGTGCGTGAGCCTGGGGTCCCCTCTCCGGCTTCCCATCTAGCTTAGTAACTGTTCAGCAATAATTATTTTAAACCTCCTTTCAAGGGCCGCCCAGGGGGGTCAGGGCCTGCCTTAGGCCCAGGCCGTGACCCTGGGGTCCTGGGATCGAGTCCCGCGTCGGGTCCCTGCAGGGAGCTGCTTCTCCCCCGGCCTGGGTCTCCGCCTCTCTCTGTGTCGCTCAGGAATAAGTAAATGAAATCTTTAAAAATAAATAAATAAGCAAGCCTCCTTTCCACCCTCCTCCCCAGCCTCTGCCTTCCTCGTTCTCAGAAACAAGCTGCCTCCCTCCCTCGCCGAGAAAGCACCCGTCAGATGGGGTTCCCGCCGCGTCGTGGTGTCGCCTGTGCCCTCCAGTCCCCGGGCTCTGCTCCCCCCGGGCCTGCCTGGGAAGCAGATGGCAGCTTGGCAGCCGGCAGGGGACGGGGCGTCGCTGGCTTAGGGTGCAGCGGGGCGGCCTGCAGCAGCCCGAGCTCCGGGCGGGAGCACCCAGGGCGGTCCCCGCAAGGCCCGTGCGGAAACCAGGGAGCGGCGGCCACTCAGTGCAGGTTTGCTGAGTAGATGCATCTGTGGGTGACATGTGCACGTGCTGTTTGGACGAGTGTCGCCGCGACCACGCCTCCTCGGTCTGGCCGGTGTCACCGAAGCGCCTCTGCCCCTGGAGCCCAGAGACACCGGGTTCTGGCCCAGGGATGCAGGAACCTGTCCCGTGTCACCGTTGTGTCCCCGAGTCACGCCGTGTCCCTGTGCCGGGAAGGAGCCCTGCTCTTTCCTGGGCTGAGGGTGAGGCCTCGTGTGATGTGTGTCCGGAGCTACTGACCCCGTGCAGTCAGCCGGGGGGCCAGTGGCCTGGCCCAAGCGCAGGACAGCTGACGGCCGCATTTTTATACATATTTGACAATACGGCACAAGCACGATGCAAATCAAAGTGAAGAAATTGCTCATCTTGCAAAGCTATGGAACTTTTCAAGATTCGTGAAGGAGGCCAGGGTGCTCAGTTGCACAGTGCAGGAGAGGGAGCGACGGGGCGCCATCGACGAGGAGGACACAGGGCAGCTTGGGGGGAGACTGGCCGTTCTTGGATGTTCTCATTTTGAGGGATGGGGAGTTTGGGGAGCCTTTAAGCAAGAGAAGTGACGATCAGATTTATCTATAAAACCTTCATTTGGACACTGGCAAGTGGTCTAAAGTATACGATCTTGCTATTGCATTTCTGGGATTCTATCCCAAAGACTCATGTATGGACTGACACATGTATGAGGTTATTTATCATTGCCTTATGTGTAAGAGCAAAAACTGGATGCAGTTGTGATGTGCAGCACAAGGGGCCTGGTTAGACAAGGGTGGTGTGACGCGCAGCTGTGGAAGCAGACAAGGAAGGTCTCTATCTACGGCCAGGGGAAGGGTTGGAGGACGCGTTTGTAAGAGAAAGAAAGCAAGATTCGCAACAGTATGGAACAGGGACGCCCGGGGGCTCCGTGGCTGAGCGTCTGCCCTCGGCTCAGGGCGTGACCCCGGGGTCCCGGGATCAAGTCCCGCATCGGGCTCCCGGCATGGAGCCTGCTTCTCCCTCTGCCTGTGTCTCTGCCTCTGTGTATGTCTCTCATGAATAAATAAATAAAACTTAAAAAAAAAAAGAAAAAAAAAAGAAAGCTGCTGAAGTAGTTCAGGCAAGGGGTGGCGGCAGCAGGCACTGGAAGGCAGCGGAGGCGGTAGTGAGATGGGTGGGTTTGGGGGTAGAGAGCTAATGGACCTGTCAGTGCATCAGGTGTGAAAGAAGGAAAAAAGACTCAAAAATAAGTCCTAGAAGGTTGTCTTGAGCAGCTAGAGGAGAGAAGATGACGTGGGCAGGGGGTTGGGGGTGGGGGGCGCCAAGGAAGATCAAGAACCAAGAGTCGTATGTTGGACGTGCTGAGACCATGTTTGAATGCAGAGGTCCACAGCTGAAGAGAAATATCTGGAAGGATGAAGACCGCAGAGATTTTTCCAAAGATGAGTCCAACTCCCATGAGTCCAAAGTAAAGGATTGAGAGACCCCGATGAAATCACTAAAACTCTCAAACCAATGTCCATCTTCATCGTTGTGCTGCACAAATGAAACATACGGGAAGGAGTGTCATTTCTGCTACTTTAGAACGTTGTTGGAAAAGCCAAGTTAAAGACTCTGAAGCAATCCCTGGATTTGTTCTTCGTTGTCAAAATCAGCCGGTAGTTATCACAAGAGCCTACATTTTGTTCGACATAAAGTAAAAATAAATATAGTTTCACGATTTTTGTTTCATTTTTCAAGATGAAGTTTGTTTAAATATATTATTTATTTATTCATGAGAGACAGAGAGAGAGAGGCAGAGACCCAGGCAGAGGGAGAAGCAGGCTCCATGCAGGGAGCCCGACGTGGGACTCGATCCCGGGACCCAGGGTCACGACCTGGGCCGGAGGCAGACGAGATGCTCAACCCCTGGGCTCCCCGGGGCATCCCTGATTTTTCAAGATGAAGTTTGAATCAGAGATTTTTCACTATTTATATGAAACACAAGTGACTTACTCGAAGTGGCCTTTCCAGTGTCCTGAACAAGGTGCAAACAAACCTAATTTGGGAAACAAATGTTCTTTAAACTTTTCCTCTTAGACGCTAAGTTCCCATCTAACTGAATAACTGACTATATAACTGGGGCTGATAATGGGGTAGGAGGTAGAGAGCAACACTTTTTTCCTTCTTTAGCACTCAAGAAGCTAATAAATAAATAAATAAATAAATAAATAAATAAATAAATAAATTTTTTTGTAAAAATAAAGCACTGCTTTCTTCAGCTTTCTGCCTTCAACTACTAACTTGCCTTCTGCGCAGTCGCCCTGAGTAGGACAGACTTCGGACATGTCCCGGGGCTCCCAGGAGTCAGGTACTGCTGCTGCGTTTGCCTCAGTGTCTCAGAAAGTCCAGGAAGCCAAACAGGGTCACGTCACGCAGGCCTGAGATCCGGGAGCCGTGGGGCCGGGGCCTGGCTGGGTCCTCACGGGGCCCTCCTGGTGCTCGCCTCGCAGACAGACAACTTGTGTCTCTTCCTGCGGCCGTGAGGGCCCCCCTCCACGGCCTACCCTAACCCTCTTCGCCTCTCAGGTGTCCCGAGGTCCCCGTCCACACGACATCATGTTGGTGATCAGGGTTTTAACTTAGGGGCTTGGGGGCGGGGGCACACGAGCGTTCACCTGCAGCTCCCAGCTCGGAGGCCTTTCCGCCTGGAGACCCTCGGTGCCCGGGCATCGGCTGCCGAGAGCCTCCCAAGTCCTCCCTGGGCTCCCCGAAGGAAGGTGCCTCCCTCCACGTCGTCTCCACTCCTGGGAGGTGGGGACCGCACAGCGCGGCCAGGACGGGGAGGAGGATCAGGCCCGGGCCCCGGCCCCGGCAGGCGCCCACCCCGGCTTCCCGCGGGGCCAGGAGCCGGGCACCGGTCCCCAGCAGGCCTGGGCCGCGCAGCCCTTGCTCCTGGCCCCGGCTTCCAGGCCACCCGCCGACTCCGGGAGGGCTCTCTTCTCCCTCAAGAGCATATTCAAATAACACATGACCGAAGCTTCGCCACCTTCTATTTCGTGTGGGCCACGGCGCAGCATGAAAGGCCAGTGGGGGGCCCGGAGTGCACCCCCGGCCGCCCGGGCTGGCAGCCTGCCCTCTGCATGCACCCTGCCCTCACCTGCGGAGGAGCGGAGCCCTCCCCGGCTTGGCACCGCGGGTCGTGTCTATGGCAGGAGCAGTGTGTGCTCCTCGGGACCCATCTCTGAACGCGTTACCATGAGAGAGAACCGAGTTTTAATCCCATTATGCGAGAATTTATATTTATTTCTTAAAGAACTATAACGACAGGAAGCCAAATTTCGGTCCGAGCATTCTTGGAAAAAAAAAATGAGGAGAATATAATAAAATGGAATATCCAGGCGGGCAGCAGGCCTTAAGAATTCCCCAGCAGGGGCTGTGTGGCTCCGTCTGAAAATCAGGACTTAGATGCCGAGTTGATTTATCATACATATAAAGATTCCCAGACCGTAGATTTTCTGCTCATTCATTTCCATCATCGTAATTTATTCAGCCTTCAGTTTTCAAGATCCTTTATGACCATTAGTAAGATTTTTAAAATAGCCCTGCACAGGCAGGATTTCACAAAGAACATTCAGGCTCTCCTTTCCTCCGTCACTTAGCCGCAGATCAGGGTTTAGAGGAGACCAGAGGATCTTTCTCACGGTACCAAAGTAGCCTAATCTGCAGTCATGAAGAAAATTTCTCTTCAGGATTCTTATTTATTTATTTATTTATTTATTTATTTATTTATTTATTTATTTATTTTATTTTTCTTTTAATTTATGATAGTCACAGAGAGAGAGAGAGAGAGAGGCAGAGACACAGGCAGAGGGAGAAGCAGGCTCCATGCACCGGGAGCCCGACGTGGGATTCGATCCCGGGTCTCCAGGATCGCGCCCTGGGCCAAAGGCAGGCGCCAAACCGCTGCGCCACCCAGGGATCCCTGGTGGTGTCCTTTGAAGCACAAAAGTTTTAAAGCGTGACCAAGTCTCATGGATCTATTTTTTATTTTGTCATTTGTGCTTTGGGTATTATATTTAAAACAGCCATTGCTAAATCCAAGGTCACAAAGACTTACTCTTGCATTTTCTTCCAAGATTTTTTTATTTTAACTGTTATGATCCATTTTCAGTTAAGTTGTATGTATGGTGTGAGGTAGGGGTCCAAATTCATTTTTTTGCATGTGGATATCCAGTTGTCCCAGCACCTAGCCTATCGACTTTTAAATGTTTTATAACTACCCACCTGACATTAGTTTTAACAGATTTAATGGATTATTGTATATTTTTCAAGTAGATATTATCATGTATAAATGATGAATTTGCTTTCTCTTTAACAATATACGTATGTATTATTTTGTTTCTCAGGTATTAAAAAAACAGTGGTGAACACATCATCTTTGTACTATTCTTCACATTAATGGGAGTGTTTCTAGACATTTGCCACCACTAAGGACTGTACTTTGTCTTTATTCAGTATCTACCACGGCATGTGTATTTTGCTACTACTGATATAAACTGAAGAAACATACATTACTGTAAAATAGTTTTCAAATTATGTTTGAGAATATATTGTTATAATTCTACTGCATATGGCTTAAGGTTTGTTGGAGGTGCCTTTAACCATCATTTTTGAGGAATATTTTTCTACAACAATTATTTATCCAGAGCAGTTTATTTTTCCATTAAAAAAAAAAAAGTCCTGACAAACTACAAGAAACTCTTAACCCTGGGCGAACCCTGGGAAACAAATGGAGGGTCGCTGGAGGGGAGAAGGGTCGGGGGTGTCGGGCACTAAGGAGGGCACCTGATGGGATGGGCGCTGGGTGTTATATGCAAATGATAAATCACTAAATCCTACCCCTAGAACTAGAAATACAGTATATGTGAACTAAATTGAATTTAAATAAAAAATAAATAAATAAGGCCTTCCTCATAAATGAAATATATGGTGTTTTTGACTCTCTCTAGGAGAGAATAATTTCTCTTAAACGTTGTAGTTTTAAGAGTCAATCAATCCATGAGCTTGAATAGATAATTCACACTTCAGATTTCAAAAGGTAGACTACAGTACGTACTGTAGAAGAAAACCTCTTTTTCACCCCTCTCCTATAGGCGACCTGTGCTTCTCCTTACAAGCACTTAGTATTAGAGAGGAGGAAGCAGATTGTTTTTAATAAAGGTAATACATACGCAGCTACAAAAATATCTGTAACATATACAAAGTCTATCAAATGTTTACCCAAGAAAAACAAGGTGCTGAGCTGTCCTATGGCGTCAGAGGGGAGGCGAAGACTTGGTGAAGAGTCTGGTCACAAAAAAGAGAGAGAAGAAGCTGAGAAAAACTATTTGGTGTTTTCCCAATATTGTCAGTTGCTGGTTTTTTTAAACCCCAAGTTCATTTTCTCACCGAGTCACGGCAAGAGCTAAATCTGGGATCCATCCACACGAAGTGCACTGGGTGGAGAGTCCACGACCTCAGCCTCGGGCCTTGACGGCCACTAGGACAGGTCACTCCTGAGGGCAGGCGACCTGGACGCCAGCGACAGGCCAAATCCCTGCACCCAAATGTACCAAGCCTCTTCCATTAGAGCAGAGAAGCTTGAATACATCGAGATCATGCCACGGAAATAACTTAAAAACCTTTCTCCAAATAAATCTGTACTGTGCTGTAGACAACTGAACAGTCATCGGAACTGGGGTGTGTAAGGAGGCCGAGCTGGCCGTGGGGGCCGCGGGCACCTCGAGTGGAGGCGGGGAGGCTGCCCTGGGACTGATGGACCGCGTGCAGGGGAGGGGGGAGGAAGAGGGGAGCCCAGGTGGGGGAGGGGAGGGGAGGGGGAGGGGAAGGCCTTATCCTTGGGGGCCTCATCTCTTGATCTTCGTCCTGGTTCTTCCTTGAGCACGTGCCGCAGGTGCAGCAGGGAGCCTGCAGGGCAGGCCCGAGGGGTGCAGGCGCCCTTGCCCGTGTTCCCAAAGCCTCCCTCCCTGCCCGAGGAGGACACATGGGTGCGGTGACAGTGTCCCCAGACAGCCCCCCAGTCCCGGGGGACACTACGGCCAGGACCATCCCAGCACTTAGTCCTCCAGCACTGGCCACACTGCTTGCTTACCTTGACCGGTATCTTCTACATTCCCACGACCCCCAGAGATGCTCTAATTCACCGTTTTCAGAGGTATTCCCCAGAACCCTTCTGACGGGGGGCCACCTCCACCCCGCACAGTTTCACGAGGGAGCGAGGTTGCCCAGGCCGCGTAGACACGACTCCGGGTCTGCAGTCGTCCGGGCCCCTTGGGCTCCTCTTACTGGGCCCTGCCCACCTCACCAACAGGACGTGACATCTTACCTTCGTGTCTCGCCACTGAAGGGAGATACTTCCTCTGAGGCAGCCCTCAAAACCATGTAGTACCTGGGAAGGGGGGAAAGGTGATTTTATAAAGTTGGGTTTATTCTGCCATTTACAACCAGTCTGCAGTAGGGCACAGGGCTTTGTTCTCCGAGCTGTGACAGAGCTGTTCAAAACAAAAACAAAAACAAAAAACGGGATCCCTGGTGGCTCAGCAGTTTGGCATCTGCCTTCAGCCCAGGGCCTGATCCTGGAGTCCTGGGACCGAGTCCCGCGTCGGGCTCCCTGCATGGAGCCTGCTTCTCCCTCTGCCTGTGTCTCTGCCTCTCTCGCTGTCTCTCATGAATAAATAAATAAAATCTTAAAAAATATATTAAAAAAGAAAACTCCTCTGGACTTGTGAAGATTACCAGGTATTTTTCTTCATCTTTAATTTCTTTGCCACATATTGCGCACAGGTTACACGGCAGAGACTGGGCGGGCGCCGAGGCCCAGAGCTGGAATCCCCTGTCCCGACCTCCAATTGCTCAGTGTCTCGGGGGCAGGAGCCCCACAAATCCCCACCTGCTAAGGACAGGACAGAAGCGCAGGTGCCCACGGTGCCCGCCCATGCTGGGCGTCAGGGAAACGTTTCTGTGCGGATGTCGAACCTGAGCTGAGGGTCTTACGGATGCGAACGATGTAGGAAGTAACCAGAGGACGGAGTGAGTGTGAGCGTGAGCGTGAGCGTGTGGGGTTCCGGGCTGAGGAACAGTGGGGAGAGCCCCCCCGCCTGTGTCCGCCCCCCTGGGCCAGGGCCCAACCCTCACCCATCGCTGGACGTCTGGGCCCGTCGGGCCTGTCGTGAGTGCTCGTGGGTACTCGTGGAACTTCAGTGAACTGAGCTGCAAACCGTCACTGCTGTCTTCTGGGTGCTGGGGATGGGGCAGTGCGAACCGGGGGTTTCTGTCCTCGGGGAGCACATGCCCCGGGGAGGCCGGACCGCGAGGCGGCGGTTACTGAGAACGTCCCACCTGCCGGGCGCTGTCCTGGAGCTGCGTGTGGCCGCGTGCGATCTCCGCGGCCTGTGGCAGGTGTCAGGGTGTGACCCCCAGGAGTCACTCTTGAGGACACGGAGAGGTTAAGAGACGATCCGAGGCTCCGGGCCGTGAGGCACAGCTGGCGTCCACGGCCGGGAATCTCGCTTCCAGACTCGGTCCTACCGCCTGGGGTTTAGCCTTTCAAGAATTCCCAAGTGCCTTTCCGGCTTATTTTTGGGCAATGAAATAAAAAACAAACTCTAAATGTCCATTCTCCCTCGGTCCTTTTTCTCTTTAGCAACCTAAGATTTAATTTTATTTTACAGAAACACTTGAAAATAATAGACACGTAAGAAAGCAAGAGTAGGATGGGGGAGGGGCCTGGCTCAGGCAGTTAAGGGTCTGACTCTTGCTCTGTCTCGGGTCACGGGCTCGGGATTGTGGGGTCGAGCGCGAGTCAGCTCCGAGCTCAGCACGGAAGCTGCTTGAGATCCCTGCGTTCTCCCTTCCCCTCTGCCCCCTCCCTGCTTGTGCTCTCTCGCTAAATAAATAAAATCTTAAAAAAAAAAGCAGGATTAAAATTAAAATTAAAGATACTACGTCCTTTAAAAAAGTAAAGAAGAGGGGCACCGGGGTAGCTCAGTGGTGGAGCGTCTGCCTCCGGCCCAGGGCATGACCCCGGGGTCCCGGGATCGAGTCCTGCACCCGGCTCCCCGCAGGGAGCTGCTCCTCCCTCTGCCTCTCTCTCTCTCTCTTTCTCTGTCTCTCATGAATAAATAACTAAAATCTTTAAAAAACCCCAAAAAAGTCAAGAGGAGATAATGGTCATATCAGACATCTAAGTGCATTAAAAATACACTGATTAAGCCCAGAGACGTGGTGACCACGTCGCTGGTGCGGCCTGGAGCAAAGGACAACCTGTGCGTGTGCAGGTGTGCGACAGCCCCCGGGCCTACCTGCCCCCTGGCTCTCGCGGGCGGGCTCTGGTGACCTGAGGCCCAGCTCCCACCCCCTCCCGGGGAGCCTCGTCCTGGCGCCGCCCTCGGCCTACACGCGCCGTGGGGCCCACGCGGGCCAGGCCCCGGGCTCGATGGGACCCGAAAGGCCACAGACACATGCACGTGGACGCAGGGGCTTGGGCGGCCTCCTTCCGACCCGGGACCTAGGAATGGGGACGACAGTGAGACAACGGGACGGACACGCGCTGCGCCGCTTGGCCCCTCGCTCTGTCGCCGGGCGGTGGCTGCTCCAGCCAAACCAGCGCCTGGCGGCAGGTCCAGGAGCGACAGGGACGTCCATGCTTCTTAAGAAAAGGACGACACACGCAGTCCTTTCCCCCCATCATGTGGGGAGAACCTTAGCATTTGCATGAATGAAATGACTGTAGTTTTACTATTTGATTTGAGCACGAAATTCCATATAGTGTGTATTTTACCAAACTGGTAGCTGAAAACCGTCAAACACCAAGTTGGGTTTTTTGTTTTTTTGTTTTTTTTTTTTTAGTTTTTAATTTTAATTCCAGTACAGTTAACATATAGTGTTATATTAGTGTCGGGTGTACCGTGTAGTGAATTCCGTACCACACCCCGTGCTCCTCACAAGCGCCCTCCTTCACCCCCATCCCCTATTTCACCCAACACCCCCGTCACCAGCAGTGTGTCCTCTAGAGTTAACAGTCTGTTTCTTGATTCGTTTTTCTCTCTCTTTTGTTCTTTGTCTGTTTCTTAAATTCTTTTTTTTTAATTTTTTTATTTTTTTAAACATTTTTTATTTATTTATGATAGTCACAGAGAGAGAGGGGGGGGGCAGAGACACAGGCAGAGGGAGAAGCAGGCTCCATGCACCGGGAGCCCGACGTGGGATTCGATCCCGGGTCTCCAGGATCGCGCCCTGGGCCAAAGGCAGGCGCCAAACCGCTGTGCCACCCAGGGATCCCTCTTAAATTCTACATATGAGTGAAATCATAGGATATTTGCATTTCTCTGATTGACTTACACTGCGGAGCTTAATACCTTCTAGCTCCATCCACGTTGCTGCAAAGAACAAGAGTTCATTCTTTTTTATGGCTGAGTAATATTCCAGTGTGTGTGTGTGTGTGTGTGTGTGTGTGTATCTCACATCTTTATCGGCTCATCTATTGATGGCTACTTGGGCCGTTTCCCTAATTTGCCTATTGTAAATAATGCTGCTTTAAACACAGGGGTGCATATGTCCTTTTGAATGAGTGTTTTTGTGTTTTCTGGGTAAATTCCCAGCAGAACAACCGCTGGATCATAGGGTAGCTCTATTGTTAACTTTTTGAGGAAACTCCACAGTTTTCCACAACGGCTGCACCAGTCCGCGTTCCCACCAACAGTGCACGAGGGTTCCTTTTTCTCCACAAACTTGCCAACACGTGTTGTTTCTTGTGGTTTTGATTTTAGCCATAAAAACCAAATTCTTGAATGCCACGTTATCTTGCCTGATTCTGGGAAAGAGGATATAGAAGTTCCGCACATTTCTCTACCAAATGTCCTGATGTTTTAAGATCATAAATTTAATACACCTGAAAATGACGTAGCATTGTATCAACTGTGCTTAAATATGAACATAAAAATTATAGACTATAAGTTTTTTAAACTTAATTTATATAACTTCATTCTCCTGTGAACATATTCCTCTCACTTAAAGACCCTAAAATGAAGATTGATATGCTATTTAGAAAGTTACTTTAAGGGCAGCCCCGGTGGCTCAGCGGTTTAGCGCCGCCTTCGGCCCAGGGCATGATCCTGGAGACCTGGGATCGAGTCCTGCGTCGGGCTCCCTGCATGGGGCCTGCTTCTCCCTCTGCCTGTGTCTCTGCCTCTCTCTCTCTCTTCTGTGTATTCTTGTAAATAAATAAATAAATAAATAAATAAATAAATAAATAAATAAATAAGAAAGTTACTTTAATAAGGAAAGAGAGATGCTAGCAGATTTACAAAGGATAGATTGGAAAGGATAAGACAGGACTCAGGTACATGGGTCCAGCTTGGAGAGGATGGAGCAGTAGATGACGGACAGAAGAGAAAGACAAATTCAAGAGATTTAGGAAATAAATGGGATAGGATTTTACTAATCGAAAATAGTAGGAAAGAGAGGATTTGAATGAGATGCTAAGAACGATACTCAGATTTCTGGCTTCTGTGCTTGGGCGGATCATGTATCGCTCAAGACGAGAGCCTAAAAGGGGCAGGCATGGGGGTGGGGGTGGGGTGAAGGGGAGATGAAGAGTTTAAGTTAGGACGTGTTGAATTTGATACGTCCGTGTGGCCACCAAGGGGAAATGCGCAAAACGGAGCTGCCGTCCTAGGGCTCAGAAGTGCTCTGGGACGTCTGGGGTATCCAGGCAAATATTTTAGGAAATCCTGAGATTGTGGGTGAAGTCGGAGCCATGAGTTGGATGGGACCAAGCAACGAAAGTGCGAATGAAAGGAAGAGACAAGGTAAGAGCAGAGCCCTAGAAAAATAAGGATTTAATGGCTTAGAAAGAGAAGACAAGACGGAGAAAAATAATCATCAGAGGTAAGTTGGGAACCAGCAGAGTGTGATGTCACAGGTGCCAAAGAAGAGGGGACTTAAGAAGGAGGGTGGCCAGTGGTCAATGACCCAGGAAGAGCGTGTATATCAGTCTGAGAATCCCGTGATGGACTGGGTGACGTGGATGTCGCCGCTGCCTGCTGGTAGCTTCACCGTTCAAGGGAATGGCGGCCACACGGAAGCGCGTAAAGCAGCGAGCGGGAGGGTAGGCGAGAAGCAGCGACGGCTTCATGGTGCTCTTTGAAGAGGGTGGTCTGTGATTGGAAAGAGAAGGCTGGTGCAGAAGGTGGAAGGCCCTTTTTTCCCCTTTAAAGATAAAAAGCTCCAGCATGTTCATAGACTAAGGGAAGATAGCAGGAGAGAGAGATTGAGGTTACGATACTGAATGCGTGAGTGAGAAGACGAAAGCATCAAAAAAAAGAAAAAAAGAAAAAAAAAAAAGAAAAGATGGCATCCAGAGTAGCTTTGGTCAAGTATTGGAACAGCCTCCCGGGTGAGGTGGAAGCAGGAAACGACCAGTGTAAATGGAAATAGACCTCAGGTTGGGTGGAGGGAGGGTAAAAGATTGAGGGAGTTCCCATCTAATGATGGTTTGTGGGAAAGGGTCATGAGGAGGGTGGTAACGGTTTGGAAGCACCATCTAGAAATTTAGGATTTAGGGGGTGGTTTAAAGCCCCGTAGGATGACTGCACAGCATTGTGGGGGATCTGTCTGCGGTTGGAGGTCATAAATCTACAGTTGCGCTATTTTGCGCCATATATGCTGATTGACTGGTCACCAGGGCAAAGACCAGACTGGAGTTATGCCCGGGTTGATCCAGGCAATGGAGCCATAAGCCTTTTTTTTTTTTTAATTTTTATTTTTTATGGAGCCATAAGACTTTAATGGCTCTAGGGGAGATAATTGCCCAAGGTCATGGAGCCAACAGGAACAGAGCTAGATTTGATCATAAAGGGGACTAGCTCCATACCCTTATCTGAACGGCGAGGCCAGGGTGCCAGGGGGTCAGCTGCGTTGAGAGGGAGACTCCCTAGGTCTGTGACAGGCCTTGGACTGAAGACAAAGCCTAAGGTCCAGATGCCAAAGTACCTGATGATGCTTCCTGGTTAAACACTTGATAAAAAACAAAAACAAAAACAAAAAAAAAAAAAACCACTTGATAAATATCTACCGTTCCAGCCTTGATCAAACATGACCTTTTATTCAGTCATGTTCAAGATCCTCTTAAAATCTTTTTTTTTTTTTTTTTTTTTTTGCAAAATGAAACATATCTATAGAGGAACTAGAAGGAGACATAATTTTTTAAAAATTAAATGTAATGCAAAGTAAAACAACGAGACACACCACCGCATACCTATTAGAGTGGCCACGGTCCAAAACCCTAAGACCAAGTGCAGGCAAAGGTGTGGAGCCACAGGGGCGTCCATTCATCGCAGGCGGGAGTGCAAAATGGTACGATTACTCTGCAAGACGGTTTGGCAATTCCTTACAAAAATAAACACGTTCTTACCAGGAACATCTGGCCTTTTGGAATCTTATTCAATAAGGAGGTGAGGATTTATGTCCACGCAAAACCTTGAACGAGGCTATACACAGAGGCCTTGTTTATGATTGCCTGCCCTTGGGAGTAGCCGCGGCGGCCTCGGGGGTGAGGGAGTGAACCCGTGTTACGTCCAGTAAACTGCTGCTCGGCCCTAAAAAGAAATGGGCTATGACGTCATGAAAGGACACGTAGGGGCCTCAAGAGCAGGAGACCGGGCGAGGGGCCCATCTGAGGGGGCTGCAGTCTGTGTGACTCCAACTACCCGACATCGTGGAACAGGGGTGGGTGGCAGCTGCGGAAGGAGGGAGGCGAGGAGGGGCCGGAGGACCGTGGGGTGGTACCGGGGCCCGGGGACCTGGTGACCGAACTAGGCCCCGCGGCCTTGCTGGTGCGTCGCTGTCGGTTCACCAGTTGCCACCAACGTCCCAGGTGGGAGCGCGGGGGGCGGGGGTCCAGGCAAGGTCGCGGTGGCTCCCGCTCCTTTTTCCTGCGAGCCTCAACCCGCTCTGAAA